CTGTATGTTCAAAGAGTTTGTTCAACTCTCATAGTACTTTGTTTACCCATTGTCTAGTTGATCTATTTGTGATAGCCAGAAATTGAGGATCCTTACTGTAATTGTGCTTCTGTTTGTCTGATCTTTTAGGCCCAGTAGTACTTGTTTTATGACGTTTGGTGCAACATTGCTTGGTGCATACATGTTAATAATTTTTATCTCCTCTTTTGGATTGTTCTTTTAACCAATATGCAGTAACTGTCTTTGCCTCTTTTGATGATTTTAGCTGGAAGTCCACTTTGTCTGAATATAGGATAGTTACTCTTGCTTTTCTGAAGGGAAATTCCCTTTGCATAGACTGTTGTTTTCTAATGTTTGATTTTTACCGTTTCTTTTTTTGTCAAATGTGTTGTATATGGCATACATACCTTTGGGCTTTATTTCTTGATCAGTTCTGCTTATCTGTGTGTTTTGATTGAGATACTGAGAATTATATTGAGTTATTTGAAAGGATTTTGTCCTAAAATAAGTTACAGCCGCCAGAGAGTGGAGTGAAAAGGGTCCCAATCGGCTGTGCTTGCGCCTCATCAATGCCCACTCTAAGTGCCACTCTGGTTAGAGGTTATATGTATATCCCATCCTGCATATTTGGGTAGAGAAAGCCAGGCCGCCGAAAGTCATGGACTTCTCTCCACATCTTTGGAATAAAGGCTATTTTTACTTTATATCCTCTCTCTTTCATCAGGCCGAAAACTCCTTCATTATTATTGATAGATATTGATTTAGTCTTTTCATTGTCTTATTTTCCTATAGCTGATTCTGTATTTTTCCCTTCTACTTAACTGCTCACCTTACCTGATGCATTCATTTTATTGAATCTTTTGTCATTTTTGCTTTATTGTCTCTTTTTAGAATATCTTTGAGTTTTTTTTTTTTTTTTTTTTTTTAGGAGTGCTAGTTTGGTGGTCACAGATTTTTTTTTAGGTGCTCTTTATTGTGGAAATATCTTGTTTCTCTATCAGTTTTAAAAAGTAGTTTTTGAGGCCATAATAACCTGAGTTGGAAATTATTTTCTTATAGGGCTTGAAACACTTTGTTTCAAGCTCTCCTAGCCTTAAAGGTTTGTGTTAAGACATTTGATGTAATTCCAATGATTGTACCCCTGTAAGTGATACTGTGCTTTTCTCTACCAATTTTTAAGATTCTGTTCTGTTTTGGGTTTCTGGATTTTGATTGTGATGTGTTGTGGCTATTTGGGGTTTTATACATCCCACTTACCTGTTGTTTATCTTCTATAAATGAATATTATTAATGAAGTATTTTCTAAAAGAGAAATTCCTAATCTTTGGTATGGAACAGCAGAATAAATTCACTAAAGTCTACATGCCTTTAGTAGAAATTTAAGAGCATTTAATACTTTTAAATATGTAGGTGAGAATACTAGTTTACCAGATGATCAGTGGTGCTATGTTTTCTTGTAATTTATTTACTTAACTGTAAAAGAATAGTGTTATACCCTAGTTATACTGAAGTGTACTGCATTTACTTATTTGCAAAAATAAACTGAGTGGCCAGGATGTGCTTGGAACTTTCTTGGTTTACAGAAAAATGTTATTGAATAAAGCATAAAAGTTACAGATATGTTGAACCATTGGGTCAGAAATACTTTCTTGAATTTTGTCAAGCTCCCTGGACCATTGTTGGCTCCTTGTCTTATTTGTTGCTGTTTGGTCTCTTTTCTGACCTTTGCATGACCTGTGGGTTTAGTTTACTTCTGGCTGTATTTTCATTTGCTGTCTTGTCCAGTGTGGTTGCAAATATGTGTGCTCTATAGAGTCCTTCCTCCATGTCTATTACAGGTTTGGGGGCTCTCCTTTCCCCTTTTAGGGGTCATGGTTTGTTGGGTACACATAGCTTACTTTCAGAACAAAATTGATATTATCTACCATAAAAGTCAAAGCTATTTACCAAATCAGTCTAGTGGATACTTATCCTTTATAATTTCAAGTCAAATTTGATGAATAGTTTATAGAATAGTAAAAAACTCTCTTAATTTTAAAGTTTAATAGGAATATAAGCCTGACCTCTTATGTAAAAAAAGTTTATTGCATAAAAATATAAATGATGGAAGGGTATTGCACTTTTTTAATTTTAAAGAGAATAAAGCAAAACAGAAAAAGCAGATCAGAACAAAACAATGCAAGCCACATGGGGCTTCAAAACAAGACAACGGGAAATGAACAGTGGCTACCATAATGTCTCCTGTTCTCCCTGAAATGATTGTCCATATCTTCACTCACAAATCAAACAAAACAAAATAGTATAAAACCAGTTAAAACAAAAGAATGAAAGCACTATGGGCCTTCAAAATCAGACAATAGGAAAATCAACAGTGGCTATCATAATTGTTCTCTTGTTTTCTTCAAAATAGCTGTCCACACCTTCACACATACTGAAATCCAATAATAGAAAACTGACTAAAACCATTCAAAACAAAGAATAAAAGCATTATTGGACTTCAAAACAAGATTATAGGAAATCAGAAATGTCTTCCATAAAGTCTTGTTTTCTTCAAAGTAGCTGTTTATACCTTTACACGTAATAAAATCAATTCTTGTAAACTCATAAGAAGAAGTTCAGGCATGTATAAGCCTATACGTGTAGATCAGTCCTTTTTGTATTAGAAGGAAAAGCAAAACAAAACAAAATACAAGAAAAACAAGAAGCAAAAGAGACAAATAAATAACAAAGAGCACCAAACAATAACAATATAGGCTTTCAAAACAAGGTAATAGGAATGTAACAGAGGTTGTTATTTTGCATAGTTAGCTTCAGAAAGAGTTACTCACATTACCAGATGTGTATTGCACATTTAAAAAAAAACCAAGTTGTTGATCCACATAATATTTAATTGCAGATTCTTACATAATAAAGTCTTTTCAGTTGAGTGACAGACTGGAGGAAAACAATCATATTTCCTTTTCTTTAGAAATATTTTGACCACTTTTTTATTTTAGTAGTTGTTTCACTAAATTGCCTAGACTCAAACTCTTTCCTCATCAGCCTGCCAACTTGCTGGGACTGTATGCATGTGCCCATGCTCAGCTTCAATTTTTAACTTACGCCATTTTCATTTGGGGCATTATCACTAATCTGAAATACCACGCACATGATCACTTTTACTACCTTCATTATTAGAGTCTAGTGTGCTATTGTCTCTCTGCATATATCCTTTAATATTGTAGTGATAGTGAAATGAGTATCAGCTTTTTTTCTATTTCCTATTATGGGTGGAAAATAAAACTGTGGAATGTCAGTGTATTCAGTGAAATCTAACTGCAGACTGCAAAATGTGTCTCAGCTTTTAAAAATACCTCCTTGGAAGACGTTGCAACAGTTTGGGAATTATGACATAAATAAGTATTTCAGCATTGCATCCATCTGTTAGTCAGGATTGGTGGACTTCAGCTCGCTGGTTTGCTCTTTCTGCAAGTAAGTTTTTATTGGAACATGGCCGTATTTGATCATTTTTGGGGTTGCTTTTGTACACAATAGCAGCATTGAGTAGTGGCAGACACATAGTGTGAGCTACAAACAAATCTTTCCCATGTTCCCATGTTGGCCTTTTACAAAAAAAGTTTAGCTAATCCTTTTTCTAGGTAGTTCCTTTATTGAAAATTATTTTTATTTGTCTTTAATATATTTTACATGAAAAGGAGTAATTGATGGATGATACTGAATACTGATGAAATAACTGGGGTTATAAAATAACTTTTAGACAAAATGAAATTAACCCAAGATCTTATCATAGATTTATAAAAAGGTCTGATGGATAAACATGATAATTGAAAGACAGAAAGTATTATTTTATTACTGAAGAATATAGTATAGATCGTATCCTTTTTCTCCTTAGGAGATCTATAAAGGTATGAAAGGACATCTAAGACTGTTTAATCATGAAGTATCGATTTTTATAAATGAAATTTCCTACAGTAAAAAAAAAACCACAGAAACAAAAATTGGGCATCTTTGACTATGACAGTATGCCAGAAATTGGTCCTTATAGTTTATACTGTTACCTCATATGTCTAAAGATTGCCCCCTGCCTAATCTGCCTTGTCTCTCTCCAACACTTGCACCAACTATTTTTCCCCCCATTAAGATTATGTTTGGGGGCCAGGGCTGTGGCTGAGTGATAGAGTTCTTGCCTTACATGCGCAAAGTCCTTGTGTTCAATCCCCGGCACCACAAAAGAGAGTTTGTAAACTGTAAGGTTGTGATTCATCTCTTAACTCTTCATCCCATACCATTCTTCCCTATTGAATCAAGTGGCATGGACTCTGATAGTTCAGTCTGTGTTCTTCCTGTAAATCTAGATAGTATAGTGCAGATTTGTTTGGGAAAGACATTTGGACTTGATTTTTGTTTTGTCTACATTATTAAGAATCATCTGATTTTTAAAATAGTACAGCTGAATATGTCACTCAAAAAAATGTACCTTTGCCAGAGATATAGCTCAGTGGCATAAGTGCCTTGCTGGCAAGTGCAAGGTCCTGAGTTCAATTCTTGTTTAAAAAAAATCTCTGAAAACTGGCAGATTATGGCCAATTTATGCTGGATGCAATTGTCTGCATGTCACTTTCCCAATTTGGAGTGAAAAATGTATGCTGGGATCTTCAAATTAATCATCAGAATCACTTATTTCATTCCAGTAACTCCATGGGCAGATTTTAGTTTATGCCGATAGTACTAGCTGATTTTGACACTTGAATATATGAGCATAAAAATTCTTATTTTCAGGGCTGGGAATTTAGCTCAGTGGCATAAGCGCCTGCCTGGCAAGCGTGAGGTTGTGAGTTTGATCCCCAGTACCGAAAAAAAAAAAAAAAACCAGAAAAGTTTCCCTTAAATGGTGAAGCCAAACATTAAAACAAAACAAAACAAACAAAAAAAAAAAACATTAAAATAGGTCAGTTTTTAAAAACTTGCTATAAAAATGTTTTGTCTTCATTTTTTTCAAGGCCAGGGGAGCAGATGTGCCAGAGATTCCTGGAGACCTTACCCTTAAGACGTGTGGCAGTACAGCAAGCATGAAGGTCAAACATATGAAAAAGTAAGTGTAGCTTTGGGATGGGCTCTAAATGAATTCCTGTAAATGGAAATCAACTCTGCAGTTCTTACAAAAATATTTTATTTAGATCATTTACTAAATTAGCTCTTACTGTGAATACATTAAATTGTACTGTTAATCCTTGAATTATGACTCAGCAATTACTAGAACAGGGCTGCACATTATCTACTTTTCTGAAATTGTTTTTTTTTTTTTTTTTTTTTTTTTTATTCTAAAATGTTGTCTAGTAGGTTTGCATTTGTTAGGACCAACCCTGGCCTGCCCTTCTGGATACCTTCGTTGCATGTTCTCATTTTTTTTTTTAGAAGAATCAGCTTTGTTGAGTTGTAGACTGCTGGATCTTAGGTTTGCTTCTGAGAAGTGACTGTTAGGTGAAATACCTCAAGGTTTCCTGGGCAGTTTTAAACAGGGAAAGCCTCTTTCCCTTGATAAAGGAGACATACTTAGCCAGCTGTGGTTCATCCGTTAGCAGAGGAAAGACAAAGATAAAAATGTTCCTTCTGCACCCAGGTCCACCACCCCAGGACTGATGGGCTGTGACAACATTCACAGGTAAAGTCTGGTTTTGTACTTTGTGTTGTGAATGCTGCTTCTGCTTAGAAGCTGGTGGTTCACAATCCATTTCCATAACAGTCACAGAATGTGTAGTTTTTGTAAAGGTGCTGACTTGGGTAAAGATTAGGAGAGTATAGCAAGGTTTTTAAATTTCTCATCTTCGATACAGCTTGTGCACTGAATGTAGTACTCATTGGATTCCTGGTATATTGGAAAGGATTTGTGTGGATGTACATGGCTCATGTGCATGTGCTCCTTAAGTACTTTTGCTTGCATGAGCTCTTTAATCTGTGCGTTTTCCCTTAAGACCTAGTAATTTTGAGTTTTCTGCTCTCTGATTTTATATTTATTTTCCTATACTTCAGGTTGCCTTTCACTAAGGGTCACTTTCCGAAGATGGCTGAATGTGCACATTTCCATTATGAGAATGTTGAATTCGGCAGCATACAGGTACATTTGGAATACTGCTTATTTCCTGAATAACTGACAAGTGATACTTTGAGTTGTGTTTTAAAACTTTCAATGTTTATTGCTGGAGGTGAAATCTTTTATACTCTTCTATTGACTACTACTTGATGCCACGTTGATACACAGTATTAATCATTGTATCAGCATGTATGAGTTAACACATTCACAACAGAGCTGTAATTCATGTCCTCCTGCAAGGTAGCTCTGATTTGAATGTGTGACATTTCTGTGGCTTGAATCATGTGTGGTACATATGTGACTATCCCATGGGGCATGGCAGGATCACATCAGGTGGTATAAACTGCCAAGTAGGTGGAACATGTCAAGGAAAATTAGTGCTTTCCCCCTCTTTTGTAATGTACGATGGCCATTGTGTGCGTGGCCCATGTACTGTACTAGCTTTCCATTCTGAATTCAGTTGTCCTTGCTGGTCTACATTTTCTTAATTACTAAATGTATTGGTGTTTGGCAGATTAAAGTGTTCCCATTTGATTCTTCTTTTTCAAAGTGTTTGGCTCTCATTAGTCTTTATTTTTACATGCAGTCTTGTTGGCATCATGCTTAATATTTCCCGTTATTGTAAACTATTGGCAGCTTAATGTGAAAAAATTATAGACTTCAAAAATAAGCAGATTGTGGTTATTTTAAACATTTTATTTCCTCAGGTGCAACAGCCCTTCTTTAAGGTATTTGTTTTTAAAAGTAGACTAATAGAAAAAAATCTTTGATCTTTTCTTTTTCACGTGCTACATACAGAGATTGTTTACCCTCTACCAGGCTCTCTAATTCCACTCTCTCCAAAAGGAAATTTAGGAGACACAATTAATACTGTGGCACAGTGCGCTACTTTTTGTAATTTTATTTCATAAATAAGTAATATGAATTCAATCTACAGGATTTATGAAAGTTCAGGAGATTTCTGTTTCTGATAAGTTGATAGTTTTTTTTTAATTTAAGGAGAAAAAGAAAAAAACAAAAAGGGTACAAATAATACAAAATTTAAAAAATAAACAGTAAGAAATCACTAGTTAATAGATTACATATTCTCATCTTAGAAATAGTTGTTCAGGTTACAAAATTGAAGCATATAAAGTGGACAAACAGTGAGAGTGCAGACAGTTTTGTTCAATGATCCAAAAAACAGTAATATGGTTATCTATCTTATACTTGTAAACATATATGCAGTTATAACCTTTAGAGCACTTTCTTTTCTTTTCTTTTGTACAATGACAATTACACATTTTGGGTTTTATTACTCCCCACATTTCTTATTACTTTTTTTGAAGAGAGTAAAACCAAATGCGACATATCAGAACAGAGTCAGTCAAATCAAAAGGATGGACATAATAGATAATGTGAAAACAAAATACAAGGTGATCAACAATAGTTACCATACTGCCTCTTGCTATTTTAAGAATTGCCAGTTATAATAAAATTGAACTAAACAGTAAAGAACAAAACCAAAGCATTGGAGACATTACAGGACTTTAAAAGAAAATAATAGTCAACCGGAATGGGTGTCATAATGAATCTTATTGTCTTCACAGTTTTGCCTATACTTTCAAACTTCATACTATCAAGCAAAGCAGAATAGAGGAAAATCAGTCATAACAAGATGGTGAGGGCAATACAGGCTTTCAAATCAAGTTAATAGGAAATCAAAATAGGTTACTATAATGTATCCTGCTATTTTTTATTTTTCCCTTAATTAAAAAGATAAAGAGAAAAAAGTAAATAATTTTAAAAAGGGGATTGAGATAAAAGAGGGCATAACAACAGAACAGCGCAGGTCAAACCATAACCATTTAAGCAAAATAATGTTTCACCACAAGATATCTTGACATAAAAATAGTTACCATAAGTGTCTCTTTCCTTGAAATCTTCGAGTATAACTTCGTATGCTGTAGCACCAAACATATCAAGACACTATAAAACCATTTAAGAGAATGACATTATTACAGGGTATTCAGAACCAGCTAACAGAAAATGAACAGTGGTTTCTGTACAATCTCCTTGTCTATAAAAGTTTTTGCTTATATTATCATGTATAATAAAATCCAATAAGATACAACCTTTTAAGACCGATGGAGACAGAAGAATACAGGTTTGATGGGACTTCAAAACAAGATGATACTAAATCAGCACTAGCTATTATGATGTCTTGTTTTCTCCAAAATAGCTGTTCCTACCATCCAATCTTCTCTGCCTCATTTCTGTTGAGCTCTTTTTCTGTCGTTTGTTGTCAGTTTGTCTTCTTCATTTTGTTTTCTGCTCCATTCACTGTGGCCTCTCTGCCACTATTTCTGGAATCTTGGTATTTTTCTTTTTTAGAATATTCTGCAGTATTCTCTGTAGAATTGAATTGGTGGTTGCAAATTCCCCTAGTTCCTCTTTATCCTCGAAGCACCTTGTTTTTCCATCAATTTCTAGGGACAGTTGTACAGGATATGTCAATCTTGGCTGGAGATTATTATCTTTCAAAGCTTGAATTCTAACCCCCCATGCTCTTCATGATTTGATGGTTTGTGCTGAGAAGTCTGCTGTAATTCTGATGGGTGTTCCCTTGTAAATGATCTGTTTCTTGTCTCTGACGGCTTTTAATATTCTGTTCTTATATTGGATTTCTGGAATTTTGATTATTATATGCCTGGGTATAGCTCTGTTTGGGTTGTAGGTGGCTGGAGTCCTGTATGCCTCATACATCTGAGTATCTTTACCGTTTGCTAAATTAGGGAAATTCTCTTGGATTATTTCTGTGAATAGCTTTTGTAGTCCATTTGTTTGTGTCCCTACTTCTTTTATATTCTTGATTCTTAAGTTATAGATCCTCTTATCATCTATGCATTGTATTGTTGCTGTTTGTTTTTTTGTTATTTTTAAGAAGTTTTTCATTTCATGCTCCCATATTACAAATCTGCCCTCCAGTTCAGATAGTCTATCCTTGGTTTCTTTCAAGCTGTTATGCCAGTTTTTGATAGAGTTTTTAGTTTCCTGGTAATCTTTTTGAACCTGCTTCATGTATTCTATGTTTTCTCTATTTTCTCCATCAAACAATTCTTCTCTTTTTTTCTGTTCTTCCATTCCACCATCTGTTTTTTCTTGGCAATGCTTGGCATTTCTCTAACTATTCTACTTATGTCTTGCTTCAGGTTATTAATAACTTCATTCCTGAACTCATCTATGAGGCTCTGGAGATAGCGCTTTATGTCTATTGGTGCCGTGTCTGCTATTGCATGGTTCTCAGGATTGGAGGCCGAGGACCCTTTCTTGTTGCTCCCTCTTCCCATAGTCTTTGTTCCTTATATACAAGCGTATATAGGAGACCCAGCTTCCTTCCCTGTCGGCCACAGTCTGTTTGAATTGTGCTGGCTAGGTGTTCCCACCCACCGCAGTGCACCAGAGAGATATGGACTGGGCAGCCTATGCCGGGCCGCCCCTCCCGGTCAACCTACTGAAGGCTTCACCACTAGGGCGCACCTCCTGGCTTCTGGGACCTGGGTTGGGCTAGCCTACTGGGTCTCAGCCAGCGGTGTCACGCAGGCCAGGCACTCCCCACCAATCCCTCTTGAGAGGGGAATATGTGACTGAAGTCACTGCAGCATCTCGTTCCGGGTAGTCTGCCCAATCCAAGTATGTCCTCTGGTGAAGCCTCCTTCTCTATGGAAGGGTCCCCGATCCGCTCAGTCACCACAGGTTGATGCAGAGCACCTGGCCAGTCCCGCTCCCAACTCCATTCAACATTTCCCACTCTCAGAGCTTTTGTACCTCTCTCCCCACTGTGCCGACTGGGACGCAGCAGTGGCTGCAGGAAATTTCAAATCGCAGCTTCCAGTGGCACAGGGTCCAGCTTTCCGCGCTGAGACCTTATCTATTCCTGCTGTATCACTGGGATTGCATTTCCAGTTGGTTTCTCTTAATTTAGTTTGTTCCTGGGTCGGCAAAGAATATCCTCCCTTGCCTAGGACTTCCTGCTTGGCACCATTCCTGTACTTCAAGTGCAGTTTCTCAGAGAGCCTCCAAAGCTGCTGCTATCTATCTGCCATGTTCTCCCGGAAGTCCCTAAGTTGATAGTTTTAAAAGACATTAGAGATTTATAATGCTTGGCCACTGTGATGTCAAACAAAGGGCATTTTATTTCTTTATTGTTTATATCCTTGTGATTACACTTATGATGATAAATGTATTAGTTCTGGAAGAGTCAATTAAGAAACCAGTAATGCTTATATTTTCCATTTTGTTACTGTTAAGTGTTTGAGTGATTTAGTTTATAGCTTAGAATTTAAATAAATTATTTCCAAGTAAAGTTACTTTGTATTCTTTAATTGTACAAGGTCATATGGATTCTTTTGGAAGCAGTAAAATTGGCAAAGGGTTGTACTGAGCATCATGGAAAGAAATAGGTGACTAGAGATCTAGAACCAAATGAGAAAAGTCATTGAAATAGATGAGGAACACTCTATAAAATACAGTTTTAAATAAAACAACTATTAATGGCAAGTGTGGACTACAGAATAGAGAATTGTTTTAGGTCAGCTAGTGCAGATTCTAATTTTCATCCTGCTTCGGAGGAAGTGTGAGACCTTGGGCAAGCAATTTAGTCTCTTTGGTTTAATTTCCTTTATGTAGGAAGTGAGTGGGCACTAAGCAGAAGTGTAGTTCTAAACTTTTATTGCTTCGTTTTACATTAAAAGCTTATAACAGGGGTTTCGAGAGTGTGATTAGGGAATGGACAGTGTGAAGCTTCATTTGGTTGTATTTGGAGATTGTCTTAAATGCTTATTGTTAAGGTTCAGTCCCTTACTGAGAGGACTGTGTCTAAAAATGTTTTTTTAAAAAACTGCATGTCTCATAATCTTGGTCAGGCTGGTCTTGAAGTCACTATGTAGCCCAGGCTGGCCTCAAACTCAAGGTGATCCTCCTACCTCAGCCCCCAAGTGCTGGAATTACAGGCATATGCCACCATATCCAGCTCGACCCTGTCT